ATCAGGTATACAAGGAACATACCTAAATACAATAAAAGCAATATACAGCAAGTCAACAGCCAACATCACATTAAATGGACAGAAACTCAAAGCAATTTCACTAAAATCAGGAGCAAGACAAGGCTTTCCACTCTCCATATCTATTCAATATAGTAATTAAAGTTTTAACTAGAGCAATAAAATAACAAAAGGAGATCACAGGGATACAAATTGAAAAGGAAGAAGTCAAAGTATCATTATTCACAGATGATATGATAGTATACATAAGTGAACCCAAAAATTCTACCAGGGAACTCCTACAGCTGATAAACACCTTCAGTAAAGTGTCAGGATATAAAATTAACTCAAAAAACATCAGACCTCCTAAATACAAATAATAAACAGGCCAAGAAAGAAATTAGGGAAGCAATGCCCTTCACAATAGCAAAAAAAAAATACCTTAGAGTAACTCTAAATAAGTGAAATACCTGTATGACTAGAACTTCAAATTTTTGAAGAAAGAAATTAGAGAATATATTAGACCTTGGATCTCCCATGCTCATGGATTGGTAGTATTAACATAAAAAATGGCAATCTTTCCAAAAGCAATCTACAGATTTAACGAAATTTCCATTAAAATTTCAACACAAATCTTTACATACCCTGAAAGAACAATACTCAACTTCATATGGAAAAATGAAAAGCCCAGAATAGCCAAAACTATCCTGTATAATAAAAGAACTTCCAGAGGTATTACCATACTTGATTTCAGCTCTACCACAATCTCTGTGGTATAGTACTAACAGTTTGGTATTAGCATAAAAACAGACACATGGATCAGTGGAATCAAATTGAAGACCCTGACATTAATCCACACACCTATGAATAGCTGAATTTTGACAAAGAAGACAAAGCTGTATAATGGAAAAAAGTAAGCATCTTCAACAAATGGTGCTAGTCTAACTGGATGTTGGCATGTAGAAGAATGCAAATAGATCCATGTCTGTCTCCCTGCTCAAGTCCAAGTGGATCAAAGACCTTAGCATAAATCCAGTTATGCGACTCTGAGATTCCATCTTATACCTGTTAGGATGGCTAAGATAAAAAAAACAAGTGACAGCTCATGCTGGAGAGGACGTGGAGCAAAGAGAACACTCTTCCACTGCTGGTGGGAGTGTAAACTTGTACACCCACTTTCGAAATCAGTATGGCAGTTTCTCAGAAAATTGGGAATCAGTCTAACTCAAGACCCAGCTATATTACTCTTGGGTATGTACCTAAAGGATGCTCAATCATACCACAAGGACACTTGCTTAACTATGTTCATATCAGCTTTATTCGTAATGCCCAGAACTTGGAAACAACCTAGATGTCCCTCAACTGAAGGATGGATGAAGAAACTGTGGTACATTTACAATGGAGTATTACTTTAGCTGTTAAAAAACAATGGCATCGGCCGGGCGTTGGTGGCGCACGCCTTTAATCCCAGCACTCGGGAGGCAGAGGCAGGTGGATCTCTGTGAGTTTGAGACCAGCCTGGTCTACAAGAGCTAGTTCCAGGACAGCCTCCAAAGCCACAGAGAAACCCTGTCTCGAAAAACCAAAAAAAAAAAAAACAAAAAAAACCCAAAAAACAAACAAACAAACAAAAAACAATGGCATCATGAAATTTGAAGGCAAATGAGGGAACTAGAAAAAAATCATTCTTAATGAGGTAACCCAGACCCAGAAAGACATTCATGGTATGCACTCACTTATAAATGGATACTGGCTGTAAAGGATAACCATGCTATAATCCACAGACCCAGAGAGGCTAGGTAACAAGGAGGGCCCAAGGGGACACTCAAATCTCCCAGGGAAGGGGAAATAGAAGAAATTTCATGTGTGAATTGGGGGCAGGTAGGGATGGGAACACAAAGGGGGAAACTTCTAGCAAATATATATATATATCTCCTTATATCCTGAACTGGTCATCTCCTATGACCAGGTAAGACTTAAAGACTTATAGTGGAGGGATAAGGACACCAAGCCAGTTGCATAATATTGACCTACAGTCTGACATGCTTATGGGATATGCTGGGGTAAGGGTGGACTAGAGATTGAAGGAGTGGTCAACCAATGATCAGTCTAGCCTAAAACCCAGTCCAGGAGAGTAAGTCCACCCCTGACACAGCCTGGAGCATCAGGACCCAGAAGCTCAATGGCCCAGAGACCTAGGTTAGAGAGGCTTCATCCAGCAATTGATGGAAACAGATGCAGAGACTCACAGTCAAACATCAAGCTGAACTCAAGGAATGCTGCTGAAGAGAGGGAGGAAGGATTTGTAGGAGCCAGGGGTGTGGTGTGGGGTGGGGTGTTTGTCAAGGGCATCGAAAACCCACAGAATCAATTGACTTGGCTTCATCGGGGCTCACAGTGACTGAACAGAAAACCAGGGAACCTGCATGGGACTGACCTAGGCCCTCTACATATATCTGACAGTTGTGTAGCTTGGTCTTCTTGTGGGATTCCTAACAGCAGGAGTAGAGGCTGTCTCTGACTCTTTTATTGGCTTTTTGGGAACTTATTCCTCATACTAGATTGCCTTGCCCAGCCTTAATACAAGGCAAGGTGGTTAGTCTTACTATAGCTTGATATGCCATGTTTTGTTGATATCCATGGGAGACCTGCCATTTTCTGAACAGAAAAGGAGGAGTGAATGGGGGGGGCAGAGGGTAGGTGGGGGAGGGACTGAGAGGAGATGAGGGAGGGAAAGTTCAGTAGGGATGTAAAATAATAAAAAATGTGGGCACAAGTACATAACAGATGATTAGCTAATGGTAGGAATTGTAGCAAACAAAATTAAGCCAGATGTATTTGGTCGACCATCCTAGGCAGTTGAGAATCCCATAAGGCTCACATGGTTCTTTTACTCACTGAGTTAAAAATTCTTTTGTACATCTACAGTCTTTTCAAATAATACAGTTCACTCTGAACTATATCCAAATCATACATTTGGGGGCCAAGTACTTTTTTAAAGTCTATATAACTTGATCACACATGTATCTAATTTTTTTCTGAAAAATAACTTTTTTCATTTGTATTGACAACATAAACAACTTGGTAAAATTAAAACATCAGAACTAGGGATGTCACAGGATAAGGGAGGGAGACAAAACATCCACTTGTAAAACTAAAAGAAGTCTCATATTCATTATTATTTAGAAATACTGTATCTCATGAAATAATAAGACAAAAATATTTGGGGAACAACCCAAACATAAACAGCATATAGACATTTTCAAGAAAAATCGCTTCATTAGTAAATGTCTGTGGTGAATGGAAAGGATTGTGGTGGTGATGTGTGCTGCAATCTGATTATGAAAGTGTACTCTATTCTTGTTTCTTGGTTTTTTTTTAAAGATAGGGTCTCATGTAGCTCAGGCTGGGCCCAAACTTGGCATATGGCTGAGGATGGCCTTGAATTCTGGATCCTCTTGTATCTAGCTCCCAAGTGCTGCGGTTACAAGCTTTCAATACAATGCTCAATTGTAGTCTACATTATAAGAACTCTATAATACTATATTTGTCAGGGTTTTCCAGAAGAGACAACCAATGGGACAGACTAAAATACAGACACCACACGAGCACGCGCGCGCGCGCGCGCGCACACACACACACACACACACACACTCACCTGAGATGTCAAGAAAATGACTTAAGTAAATGTGAGCACTGAAATTTGTAGAGGTGATCATCAGGCAAGAACTCCTGAACTCCTGGCAAAAGTTGATGCTACATTTTTTAACTCCAAATGAAGGTAGCCTGGAAGCAGACGTCCTGCCTTGGGTACCTCTTAGCCAATTCCTGAGGTTTTGAAGGAATTCAATGAGGAAATTTTGGTGGGACTATTACTTTAAATTTTAATCACATCTAAAGAAATATCCTCATACTAACATGTTGCCTGGCATGGGACCAAACAAATTGTCAATCTGAGACAGAAAGTTTACCATCACAACTAGTATATGGAAGCATGCGAGGGGAATTATACCTGGTCTAAACTGGAATATATAATTGAAACAGTTTGGGTAGGCATAATGCTGCAAGCCTGTAATTTCAGATCTTAGAAGGCAGAAGTGGAGGACTGCAAATTCTAGGTCCGACTGAGTTACATAGTGAGACCCCTGACTCAAGGAAAAAGAAAAGAAGGAAAAAAAATGAAATAAGAATAAGAGAAGTTAAGTGGGGTGTTTAGGTATGGCAACTATTGCCTTGAAATTTAATTTAATTTAACTTATTTAAGAAATAAGTGATGAGTGGAAATTTTCTCTTGATTTTACAGCTATTGTCAAAAAGAAGATATTTCAGGAGCCCCTGAGGCAGATGAATCCAAGCTTCCCCGTGGAGCAGCAGCCTTGATGACAGAGATACTCCAGGGAGGAAGCCAGTGTAAAAATAACTCTAGCTTCCTGCTGGGGCCACAGTGGGGTGCTTAAGGGGCAAGCCAACTGTCAAGATGAATGGGCTGCTGTGGAATGCTATTTCTAGTTGTCAAGCAAGTTTGGCATCTTCTTCCAACACCCTGGTAACTCAAAGGGAACCTGAAATGATCTAAAGAATCCCATAGGAAGTGAGCCATTCAAAAGTAACACAAAGCTGAGGTATAAAAAGGAATATTTGTATTTTAAAAATACATCTTTGACCACTACTCACATCTTATTTGCGAAGTATTTTCAGGAAATACTCTCACTGGCTAGGCTTACTCAGTGTAATCTATCACTTTCAACTGAACTCAAGGGAGGACATGCTTGTGTAATTAGAAGTACTGCCATCACCACCACAAAAATATTAAAGACAATCTCTACCTCAGGATAACAGCCTCAAATTATGCTCTTTTCTTTTCCTTCCAAGCAGGACTTCGTGAATGGTCCAGTTAAAGTTGTCGAGGCCATTGCAATGTACACATGGGCACAACGGAAGCAGAGGTATCCCTTTGAGTCAGCATTCTGAGCAGAGCTGCCCTATGTGCAGGAAGCCTCACACACCTTGTTAATTATTTATTCATGAGATCATGACATTCAATACTCACATCAGTTCTTTACAAAGAGTCAGCATGGAGTAAACAGTATTTACAGCAGGACACAGTTTGCAATTCAACACTAACAGCAGGAAGAGAGGGACCAAGACTGTAAGACCAGAGGGAATGGACTATTAAAATAAATCCCTTCTGCCAATATGTGCACGTGTGCCCACGCCTGACTGCATTTCAATTCATAGAAAACTAACCAGGCCCTCTCTTAAAAGCAGACTATTTACAAGTAGTCCCCAAAAGCACAAACACAATAGTCACACTGGAGACTTTCTGTGAATCCATCTAGATTTTTTGTTTTAAAATTCGGAAACACTTTTATCTATTGAAGAAAATAACACTGGAACGTTTGTTGACTTTTGGTTCATAGTATTTTTACAAAAAGCCACAGTTCATGCTGTTTTGTTTTAAAGGTGAACTGGTGAAGCACCTTGTAGAAGACACTGATGGATAATTCATTTACTGTTTACTGTGGATAAGAGAGACAATGGCAGTTACAGAGAGGTCCTAATACTCCTCTCATTCCTTTGTACAAGTAGCAACATGGGACAAGAAATCTGGAAACACAAACCACGCACAAATCACCAAAACATTTCAGTTAACAGTGCTGAAAAAGTACAAGGTCTACAACAGTAGTACAGATACTGAAAACATTCCAAATACTCTTTAGCCTCAGGAATTTTTCAATACTACTTATAAGAAAAGACGACCAATTGCCAGAAATAGGAGGAATTTACAGCACTTGAGGTTTGAGGCAATTTCTTTTTAGGACCTGTAGCTTGAGGTGCTGTTCTAGGATCCTTATTTTAACTTAAAAGATATTCAGGAATGAACTGACAAATTGAAAGCAATGTCCACTTGAAAACCACTGAGAATACAAAATCACATCTAAGCTTGTCCAGCACACATTTATTTTCAGGATCCCAAATTGCTAGATAAAGAGATTCAGGTCAGCTTCAATCCCTCAAAACCACAGAATTTCCACCTCTTCTCTAGGCTGGCTCCAACTCCGGTCATTTCCTGTCTGAAGGTATGCTGGAGTCTACTCATGAGGCATTCCACATCACCGGTGCAGATCTGCGGGACAGAGAGGACATCCTCCAATCAGAATCATTTTTCCAAACCCTTGGCTATCTGCTGGGGTGTGTGTGTGTGTGTGCGTGCGTGCGTGCGTGCGTGCGTGCGTGCGTGTGTGTGTGCGCGCGCGCGCGCGCGGGGTAATCTATCAGGCCTTGTGCATTTGTGTGTGTTGCTAGAGCAGTTTTCAGACAACAGTGTTCGTCTTCTGGGACCACCAGACACAGTCCACTGAACTGCTCTTGCCAAGAGCTGGTGTCGGTTGCATGGAGAACTTTGGGCATGTACCTACCTGAATGAGGGCAGCTCAGTGCTGGGGATAAATGTCCAGGTCCACTGAAGCTACAAAGTTCCCAAATGGCCAGTGCCTTTGCTAAGATGACAAAGGTTTCTCTAATTTAATATTTTGGACAACATAATGTCAGGAACCCACACTCAAGGGCACTTCCCAGGAGGCCCAGTTTTGTGAAACAGTGACACATACCTACAGGAAAACTTAACTAAATTCTGCTTCCGAAAAAAACGTATTGTGAGCTTGTTTTTTTCCAAGGAGGAGATGAGAATCTGCCCCTGCTGCTATGAAGTATCCTTGACTTTCTAGGAATTAACACTTGCCCTCACTTCATGAGATCTGTGAGCTCCTGCCTTGAGGATAACATGCAGATAAATGGCTTACAGATCAGCTGTGAGCAGCTACCCAATCAGCATTCCAGAAGCCCACAGCATATTGTTCCATCAGTTATGAACCTTCCTTGACTGTTTCATGGTAGACAATGGCAGCAGTGATGGTGGGAGGGGTAGTTGGAATTAGATTTCCACTTTTACAAATCAAAATGTGTTGATGGCTAGAAGCCCAGGACAAATGTCCAATGGGTAATAGAGAAAATAGTGGTTAATTTGCTAGCTATTTGGTAGCTTTCATGGAAATCAAGAAAAGGAAGCTAGACTCTTCTAAGATGTAGCTCAGGAGTAGGCTAGCCAATTAATTCTAGTTTGCATGAAATTTCCTTCGTTTTAGCACCAAAAGTCTCAAGTCTCAGGAAATTGCCCAGTTTTAGGCAAACTAGCACAGAAAGACACCATTTCTAAGAGCAAATCACAATGAGACTGGAAGTCAGGGAAACTGCTTAGAGCCATAAATAATACAGTCTGCTTATGCTTGAAGAAAGTAAGGTCACCTACACAGAAAGAAGCCTTCATCCTTCTGTCTCCATTTGAGTTCCCCACATACCTTGTTATCAAGACGGTGCAAGTAGGAACAGATGTATTCAATGCTTGCTCCAAATGGGTGAACATGAAGGAATGTGGAGATAATCCCTATGGAGACAATGCCCCAGACGTTACACTTCAGCATGGAATTCCTTGAGATTCTACAGTGAATGAACTCATATAGACAAAATGTACATACGCACACTATACATATACTGGGCAGTATTTTAAGTTTGCATATAGTTTACTCATTTAGTCGATTTAAGAACCCTGTGGCATAGGTACTGACAAGCCCCATTTTACAGATGAGAACACCAAGGCAAAGCTTCAGCACATAGATGACAAGTGGTAGAGCAGGTAAGTGAACTGAGCAGTTCTTACCACTCATTGCCTTTCACTGTGATATACCACACATAGTGAAGCTGGCGTGTGAGGTCACTCCCATCACTTGTCATCACTGAGAATGATGTGAATATTAGAATTCAGATCATGATGGGTGTTTGGCAGTCTTTAAATAAGACTTCATGCTCTTAGGAATTAAGAATGTCTGTGGGAAATACACATCACCTACTTTGCCATATTAACCTACCTCCTCACACAGAAGAATCTGCTGATTATATGGGGCTTTCTTTTGTGAGTTGCTCTCGAAAGAAAAGCCAGACATTTCCTTCCCCCTGACATGAGTGGTCACTGACATTGTGCATTGTGGGTCCCAAATGTGTTCCTACAGCAGAGTTCTCAGAGCACTTTCCAGCTTTCAGCGATGCCCAGGACATTCCTCCTCAGCCTACCTAATTCTGGGGTGAGAAGCAGCCACAACCACTGTCTTCATTCTTATGGATGACACGTTCATTGTTCTAATACTTAACTGGCAACAACTAGAAAAATTGTTCAAAAATTGTATAGATTCACTTTTAAATGCTGGTGAATTCATTTCCTTTTATCAGATCTTCTAGGATTGAGCTTCCTGAAAACTACCAGGAAATAGTAGTGAGAATTGATTTGGTTTAGAAAGTAGAATTTTTCTGTCCTTTCAGAGGCTGACAAAGAATTGCACAAGTTTAAATTATACCTTGAAATTCAATTATTTTTTATGAAACCCTTCCAAATATTAGATGGTGAAGGGTGGGCCGGGAGAATCTGGGAGGAATCAGGGTTAGTCACAAAATCTGTTCAAAAGGGCTACTACTACTTTTATCATTACTTTATTCTTAAATGACCAGGTAAATTGAATTTCTAAGCTCTGATTTGAGTTGAAAAACTTCAGTTCTGAAGGGAAAAAGTCCATATTCAAAGAAAGTCTAAATGTCATAGCTAAGGAAAAGTATCAAATGCTAAGAAATAAGCTCAGAGGTCTAAAAACACTAATAAGTTTTTGTGAATTCACTCAAAGAACTTATTTTAAAAAGCAGACTTCTCCATCAGCTAAAGACTACGTTCTTTAAAAAGCAAAACAAGAGACAGTCATTTAAAGGAGTCTTTTTTTCCTCTCAGACTATCCATTTACAGAGAAGTTCCTCTCTCTCCCCCCAATACTCCTCTGTCACCATGACAATTGGTTAAAAACTTTTGAGTTGGAAAATGTTAAAAAGCTGCCAAGTTCTTTTTTTTTTAAGTTTCAATGGCAGATTCCCCTGTGCATCTTTATTAACATATCAGAGCTTTATATCAGAGTATAACACCCATTGCCAAAAAAGACAGATATTCCTTCAAAATATACAGAAGCTGAGCAGCATAGATGGCTTTGGAGGGTGGGATACAGTTACCCTGTGGCTCAACATCCTGAAAGGAAGTTTGGATTAACCAACCCCTGCTAGAGGACCAAATAATTTAAACCCTAATTTTCCATTAACTTTCAAATGGAACATGAAGCCAACAAGCATTTGTGACTAGTACTGGAAGTACAAGCTGCTTTCCTTGTACCGAGGGTAGACTATTGTCCTGCGTGAAGTGACCTGGGATAGTTATGTTAATACTTGGAATCAACCTTTGAGGTAAGTAATAGCTTGTCCAATTAGGAGACGGAAGAGCTGAATCTCAGCAAACAGATACAGTCATCAAGATGGGCAGCTATGGCTGCCCAGTTCTTTAAGTGTACAACTTGGAATTCTTTAGGTAGTAAGAGCAATTCTGGCTTTTACTGTATCAGAGCACAACGGAGTCTAACACACTATTGACAGCTTCCTGAGTTAATTTGTCAATGTGATATAATATAATGTGTACCAGTTCTTGGTACACGGGCCCTTTAAAAAACCCATTTAATCGCACATTTACTTATTGTGTCTGTGTGTGTGTGTGTGTGTGTGTGTGTGTGTGTGTGTGTGTGTGTGTGTGTGTGGGTGAGAGAGAGAGAGAGAGAGAGAGAGAGAGAGAGAGAGAGAGAGAGGTATTACATGCATGTGTGGGCTGAGCCACACTAAGTAAGTGGAGGCCATAGGCAACTTGCAAGAGTCAGTTCTCTCTTTCTATCATGTAAGTCTCTGGGATTAAATTCAGGTGGTAAAGCTTGGCAGAAGGTTCCCTGCTGGCCTCAGTGTAATTTGTTTTCTGAGAATGGCCTTGAATTTGAAATTCCTCTGATTCTGTCTTCTGAGTGCTGAGATTACAGGCATTTGTTGCTAGCTTAGTTAGATTCTACTTGTGATAGTAGAGGTGGCTGGGAGCGCTTTACTAGTTTCAAGGTGGGGACTGGCCAACACAACAGTAAGGGTAAGACATAATAAGTGTATGGAGCTGTTAGGTTCCCTACCCCCAAAACCAAACTTACATAACAAAACCTCCATAAAGACATGATGGAGATCAGAGAGCTATCCAGATGGGGAACACAGAAAAATGCTGGTACAGTAGCATAGCAAGCCCACAAATCGTATAGAAGCCTGACTCCTTTCCTCTTAGTTTCTTGCCATATGTATCTCTTCCAACTCTCCATTCCTGGGTTTCACCCTCTACACCAGTTGTTCTCAACCTTCCTAATGCTGTGACCCTTTAATACAGTTCTTCATGTTGATGGTCTAGACAGTGGTTCTCATCCTTCCTAATGCTGTGACCTTTAATACAGTTCCTCCTGTTGATGGTCTAGACAGTGGTTCTCATCCTTCCTAATGCTGTGACCTTTAATACAGTTCCTCCTGTTGATGGTCTAGACAGTGGTTCTCATCCTTCCTAATGCTGTGACCTTTAATACAGTTCCTCCTGTTGATGGTCTAGACAGTGGTTCTCATCCTTCCTAATGCTGTGACCTTTAATACAGTTCCTCCTGTTGATGGTCTAGACAGTGGTTCTCATCCTTCCTAATGCTGTGACCTTTAATACAGTTCCTCCTGTTGATGGTCTAGACAGTGGTTCTCATCCTTCCTAATGCTGTGACCTTTAATACAGTTCCTCCTGTTGATGGTCTAGACAGTGGTTCTCATCCTTCCTAATGCTGTGACCTTTAATACAGTTCCTCCTGTTGATGGTCTAGACAGTGGTTCTCATCCTTCCTAATGCTGTGACCTTTAATACAGTTCCTCCTGTTGATGGTCTAGACAGTGGTTCTCATCCTTCCTAATGCTGTGACCTTTAATACAGTTCCTCCTGTTGATGGTCTAGACAGTGGTTCTCATCCTTCCTAATGCTGTGACCTTTAATACAGTTCCTCCTGTTGATGGTCTAGACAGTGGTTCTCATCCTTCCTAATGCTGTGACCTTTAATACAGTTCCTCCTGTTGATGGTCTAGACAGTGGTTCTCATCCTTCCTAATGCTGTGACCTTTAATACAGTTCCTCCTGTTGATGGTCTAGACAGTGGTTCTCACCCTTCCTAATGCTGTGACCTTTAATACAGTTCCTCATGTTGATGGTGTACACAGTGGTTCTCACCCTTCCTAATGCTGTGACCTTTAACACAGTTCCTCATGTGGATGGTCTAGACAGTGGTTCTCATCCTTCCTAATGCTGTGACCCTTTAATACAGATTTCCTCATGTTGATGGTCTACACAGTGGTTCTCACCCTTCCTAATGCTGTGAAACTTTAACACAGTTCCTCATGTTGATGGTCTAGACAGTGGTTCTCACCCTTCCTAATGCTGTGACCCTTTAATACAGTTCCTCATGTGGATGGTCTAGACAGTGGTTCTTACCCTTCCTAATGCTGTGACCCTTTAATACAGATCCTCATGTTGTGGTGACCCCCAAGTATAAATTATTTCTTTTGCTACTTCTTAACTCTAATTTTGCTACTGTTACAAATCTTAATGTAAATATCTGTGCTGTGTGATTCAACCCCCAAAGGGGTTGCAGCCCACACGTTGAGAACTGCTACTCTCCAACATGCTGGCAATAGTTAAGTCAAGTACTTCTCAGAGTCCTTTGACTTGTATTAACAAGTTACAGAACTTGGTTGGTGGGGTACTGGGAAGTTCCTGACTTTATAGCCAGAGAGGACTGAGTGTGGAACTCGGTGTTATAGTTTGGATCGAGAG